GTATTAGTGGTCCGCAGGATTTAAAATGATGAATTTAGTGGTCCATGAGGTCCAAAAGGTTGGCGACTGCTGGTCTAGGGTTCCTTTCACCACACAGCTAAGCCGACACAATAAACGGTCTGAAATAAGCTGCTGCTAAAAGCAAATGACGAGGTCCTCCCTCCCGTGTTCTTACACAAAAACAGGGTTATTCAGAAAAGGGGGAGGAGTTTGGAGAAAGCAGGAGAAGTGACCAATCTAGGACAACATAGCTGAACTGGAAAAACTCTCCAATTCAGCTCACTTTTCCTCTCCAAACTCTCCACCCTTTTGTGAATAACCCCGATAATGTTTTAATAGTCAAAATAGCCATCCTTTTCGATATCTTCAAAAGGAACTTTACCCACCAATTTAATGTCTCCCAAAACAGGTACTTTTAGGCAGTGCCAACTGTCAAGGTGTGCAGTGTGCTTATTTCAGCTCTCAAATTAACTTTTGGAGGCCTGAAATGTCTGGTGTCATAGCTAATCACATGTGCAGCACCATGGCAACTGCTATCCAAGTAGAAGCTAAGATGGCACCTTCCTTGGCTGTAAAAGGATAGGAGGGTAGAGTTCCGCTTTAAAGCCCATTAACAACTTTAAAAAAAAATAATACCTTTTTAAAAACACGTCAGCAATGTACACAGAGTGTACATAAAGCAGGCATATACAGTTGCTGTATATGAACACTCTGGGCTGTGCCAGCAGTCGGTGTAAGTTACAGGCTGCTGTGCACAGTGAGAACTACAATGTAGGACATGTCAAAATTACATTTTCCACAATGCTATGCTTCCCTTGTGCACCAGCTTCTGTGTGGAAACTCTGAGCTTCCCTGCATTCATTCATATTTATAATGGCAAACTCCCCCGGACAGTGCAGTGACCTGGAGAGGCAGAACTGGTGTGCAGTGATCTCGCTACAATGACTGACAGGGAGGGGCTCGGCTGCTTTACAATACAATATGACTCCAGTGTCAGACTCAGTGTTCTGTGGAGGGAATTTTCCATTTGTAGGACTCAAGTCCACTAAAAAGTTGATAAAAAAAAAAAAAGTAAAAAAAGCCAGCAATGTGAAAATGTACAGACATACACATCTTAACTACACCTCTGCATTACCACAATAAATGCTAATCACTTACAAATGGTCAAAATGGGCTTTAACCGCCTCCCGGCCGGCAGTTGTGCTGAGAACGGCTGGCCAGGAGGTAGGTAGGTGTGTGTGTGTTTGTGTGTGTGTGTGTGGCCTGTCAGGCTCGCGGGAGCGGGAAATGACCAAAATTTTAAAAACAGGCAGCGATGCCTGTTTACATACAGGCAATCCGCCGGCTATAGAGGCGACGGATCGCTCGTATGTGGTGCCGATCGGAGCGCCCCCCCCGATGTGAACATCACACCAGCATTTTGGTGTGAAAGGGGCACAAAGAAAACAATTGTTATATGTGTGCCCCTGTAGAGACCTGTGTTTCACATGTGCAGAAAAGGGCAGACCTCTGCAGACGGTGTGAACAAGTCCTTACTCTATGTGGGGAAGCAGTGGTCTCTCCGCAGAGGTTCAACACAGCCCCTAAGTGTCACAGTTCTCCAATCAACAGAGAGCATGAGCGTTGCCGATAGGTCTGACATAGCAGGGGCCATGTTGGACTTCTGCATAGAGAGCACTGTTTCCCAAAAACAGCAAGAAGGGTTAAATCCCAGTTTTGCTTTGGTAGATGTTACTGAAAATTGCTTATTACACTTAGTAGAAACAAGAAAGGATGAAGGTTTTAGTCAGCCACAAACTTGATTTTAGTTTTGGATACAGTGGGGAAGGAGGTAAACCCCCCCGTCTACGTTTTACTGCCATCATGGGCTCTGCTATGGTAGCAACAGTTTCACAAGGCAGGAAGTGAGGAAAAATCTCCAAAAGAGGAAGACAGCAAAAAAAAAAAGGTCATTAAAGAGTCTAGGCCTTCCTCCACCAACCTTAACCTCCCTGGTGGTCTGATTACGGTATTTTATTTTTTTTGGTCTCTTAACATTTCCACCGGTTCCGCCACCCTCCTACTGTGGCTCGGTGTTGGCGCTTATGGTACTGAAAATTAACCCCGAGCCACACTCTGGAATACCGCCAAGGAGGTTAAAGAACATCAACATTTAAAAAAAAAAAAAGGACCCTTGCAGTGGGACTATACCTGTACTGCAAGGGTTAATTGCTCCATTTGTGTCCAGGTGCTAAAATACATTTATACTCACCCGAAACTATGAGCCGGGCCAGATGTCACAGCGATCCCTCCAGCCTGTCTCCTCCTCCCTGCAGCATTGGAATCTTCCTCAGCATCCTCACATCTGTACGCTGTGTATAGAATGTGATGATTTACGGGATCTGAGACCGCTGCAGAAGAGGGGGAGAGAAGTTGGAAGGACCGTTCTAAGAAGAAGGAGCTTTAGGCGAGTATATCTTTGTTTTTATTTTAACCTAGACACAAACGACCAGTTAACCCTTGCAGTGCGGGGTTAGCCCTACTGCAAGGGTTGAAGTAAAATCTGAAACTCTAATCATTCCACAATCCAAAAACAGTCCGATCCAAAGATTTTGCTGCATATACACTTTATATCTGAACTCCGGGCACACAAATTCTCATATAAACATACTACTCAAAAGCCACAAAGGACACAAATCCAGTTTGCATGCAACAAATGTCCTTGCAGATACAGATATTACCTTGTAAAAGCAGTGATGACACCATCACTGTTCTGCATACAGCCTCTGCAGAGAGCAGAGTTTTGGGAGGGACCCAGCAGGCCACACCCAGGCTGCCTGCAAAAAACTATAGGAGGGGCGGCTACAAGACCAGTCACCCTGCACAGGGGGAAGAGAGCAGCAGTGACCAGTCTTTATTACAGAAGTTCCTGCACAGAGCTAAAGTTCCACATTGGATTACTGCACAGATCAGGAAGAGACGCACAAATCTCACCAAGATTCAAGAATATACATGTCTCTTGTATTCAGACATTTGCTTATCTTGGAGTGCAGCATCAAATCAGGATATGAGAAGGATTTTAAGAGCTTATGCACACGGGCACAAATACAGGTGTACGGGCAACAACATAAAATACAGCTGTCTATGCTGCGCCCGGGAGTTCCAGCTGCTGCGTTCCTCTATCTGGGATGCACCAATTACCATTTTTACCAATTTTTGCTGCATAGTTCTGTGCTGCTCTGGGGTGGCAGCCTGATGTCTCCAGTGGAGGATTTCAGGAGGGCTGTCCGGGGTCTCAGGAGGCTGTGCAGATTCTATGGGCTCTTACTAGGGGTCCCGGTCGGTCTCGTGGGCAGCTGCATGGAGGAGATTTTCGGCTGGTGCTGCGAATAAATGCTGTGCTTCATAGGAAGGCTGCCAGGACCTTGCATCCACATTCAGGAACTTGTACCCATATGTGTGTTTATATATAAAAGGCAGCTGCGTCCAGAGTTTTCTGTCCATATGTCAATAAAAAGTGTCGTAGAAAACTTAGTCTCAACTAGATAAAAAAAGCCCCCTACGTGATAGCCAATATACGACAGGTCCTCTTTATGGAGACATCAGGGGGCCTCTAAGAACCCTAATGCAGTGGTTCTCAACGGTGTAGCCTCAGGACCCACATTTGCCCATGGTCATTAAGTCATGACCCAAGTCACACTGCAATGTAACGCACGGCATTGCAGTACCTTGCGTTCTGGTGCGGGTGATAGAACTGTGTGTAGGAGATGTGTTTGGGGTGCCATTCAAATTGGCAATGCAACACACCTCCCACACCGATCGCTTCCACCTTTAGGCCTCAGTCACAATAAACACAGTGCGTCCCAGCCCGATTCTGGCCAGAACGCACTGCATCGCATTGCGGCCAGCTCAGTATGTTGTGGGACCGGAGGGGGGCGTAACGGTCCATTGAAGTGAATGGCACCGCCCTGTTTGTTGTCATACAAGCGATCAGGTGGCTGTAGAGGTACCGGCTGTTTACATACGTGCAAGAACAGTGGGGGAGGAATAAAAACAAAAAAATGATGATGTACTTATCCGCCCACCCGCTGGGAAGAGGTTGCCATCCACCCGTGTATTCACAATGGGCAGATGGCAAGTGGATCAAGTGCAACTGAAGCCAAAACATTTTTGGGGGGGGGGGAATGTAAGAGATATTAGAGGACCTGTCAGGTATTTATTGCTGTCTGTCCCCCTCTTTGTCCTGGTGACCGTTATCACTGAAAGAAAACCACACATTTTAGGTGTCACCAGAACAGGAAGAGATGGGAAATCTGCCAATGGGAACACCAGGAATTTCCCTCACTTTGGAGGGATTCCCTCTCACTTCCTGTTGTGGCTATCAGACAGGAAGTGAAGGGAAATCTCCACAATGGGACACAGGTGACAGGGGTTATAATAACCCTCTCTTACACCATCTAAAAATAAAACAAACAAAAAAAGGTTCTGGCTTTAGTTCTGCTTTAATTCCCCCGCATGTTTCTGCTGGTTACATATAATACTGGCTACATTGGTTACAACAATAACAGGTTTCAGATACAAATACAGCATTTCCTCCTGACAGAAGACTGCAGAGAGAGAGCACAGTGAGGGAGGAAGTGGGTAAAGTCATGTCCTGTACGGAGGACAGGAAGCTAGAACACACAAGAGAGCTGGCTCAGTGACCCCCACCATGAATTACAAGAACGCCAGGAAGAGCTAGAACGATACGCTTCCCCATTCATAGAACGGTTACCGGCCATTCACAGACAACGCCGCTTCCCGTGTACTCACATGAGGTGTACGGGGTCTCTGCACACCGCCGGACCGTCCACCTTCCGCCGGCAGCGCTCTGCCCTGTCATGACCCGCTGAACACACTCACCCGAACCGCCCGCCGCCACTGCTGCTGGCACTACGATGAATGATAGCCACGCCTCGCTGCGTTCCGAGCCTCGGCACACATTCCCACGCTGATTGGTCGGACGGGTTCTAGTAGAAAAAAGGCCGAGGAGCACGTGACGTGCGTTGGATGCCAAAATAAGGAAGACGCGCACATGGCGGGAAAGAAGAATGAGTCATTCGTACCGTACAAGGCCGGAGAGGCGTGAGAGGGAATGGGGCAGTGAGGAGCCGCATTTTTCAAAATGTTCTGTGCCGGGACACCTTTATGAGAGCGAATGCGGCTGCACAAACGTTTTCCTTTGAACGTTTGAAGGTGTTAAAGAGCAGTTCGTCCTGAATTTAAAGCACAACTCCACGACAAAAAATTTTTGTTTTTTTAATGACTGCAGGATAACAAACAGTTATCTATAATGAAGTGTATGCCACCTTATGAAACGCTGCCCCTTGTTGACTATTTACAATTTTAGGCTCCGTTCACACCTGAGTGTTTCCTTAGCGTGCATCAAACAAAAAAATGTGCATATCGACATGCTTTAGCAAAATGCGCAAATTTATAGAAATACCCTTATGGCGCCATTGTTATTAATGGCATCCCAAACGTGGCCAGGAAGGCCTGCAGTTTTCCTCTGTGTTTAAACCTGCACGAACACGTCACAAATTTTGCTACATACACTTTTCTGCGCAAACGTGAGGTGTGAATGGGACCTTCTTGATTCTGGGAAACATAGCTTTCACTATACTGCTGGCAACATGTGGAACGCATCTTGTCAAATTTGTAACATGTACTTTTTTGCAGTTGGCCAGGGACCCACATAGAACATAAGGAAATGTCACTTGTGACATTTCAATAAAGTTGTAACAAAAAAAAGGAACAGCATGATGCAGCTTGATCAAGTGCGTTGGCACTGTGCCAGGCACGCACACAGACACCACCAGCTGTGCCGTTGAATGTGGCTGCTGATGTGAAAAAGCACTGCACAGAACACCTTGGGGGAATTTATCAAAACTGGAGCAGACAGAATCTAAAACAGTTGCCTATAGTAACCAATCTGCTTCTCTCCAATTTGTTCAGGTGAGCTTTCAAAATGAAAGAAGCTGATTGGTTGCCATGGGCAACTGCTCCAGAGTCTGTCTGCTCCAGTTTTGATAAAATTCCCCTCAATGCATTCAGAAAATTATTCACAAAATACAAGAAGGGGAATTTATCAAAACTGGAGAAAACAGAATCTGGAGCAGCTGGGCATGGCAACCAGTCAGCTTCTCTCTTCAGTTTGCTCAGTTAAGATTTGAAAATGAAAGGGAGAAACTGATTGGTTGCCATGCACAACTGCTCCAGATTTTGTCTGCTCCAGTTTTGATAAATAACACACAAGGAGAGAGAGGGGCGGATAGTAGGGGCTGTGTGTATGAGAGGCCCAGCTCTCCTGTCACAGCGTCAGAAGTATAGCAAAAGCTACTGTATATTGTCTGGCATCAATGAAATTGGAAGTAGTCAAGAAAGGGCACCTCATTACCATTCACTACTTTTACCCAGAAGAATAAAACAAAATCCTAGAGCTCTGCTTTAAATGCATGAGTTACACATGAGGTCCTTGAACGGATCAAACCGTTCCAAGCATGTTACCAGGAAGTGCTCTGGTAGTTTGGGGAGCCTTGAATTAAACTGGGACACAAGTTAAACTGATTTCTTGGTCAGCTCCCCCATCTTACTCATTATACTCATATTTAATATATGTCTAAAGCTTGAAGGGCCTGTTTGTCAATAATTTGCAGAGCCATTCGACCTGTGAACGTTCCTTCTATGTGAATAGGGGTAAAAAACAACTTTCTAAACTTAGATTTTGTTTTCAGACCAAATGTAATGTAATACTGCATTATGGCCAGTAGATGGCGCACAGGAAATAAGTACCGTATTTCCCATAACGTCTTCCAGGACAGCATCACGAGATGGAATCTCCTCCCCCACACACAGGAAACACGTCACTTAATTTGTTTAAAATACCCTCCTCTCCTCCACTCCCTCAGTCTTTTGTGTTTCCTCAGTCAAGCTGGGGAGCGCGTCACAGAACGCTGAGAGGGGCTTCCATGTGGTGATGCTGCCCGGGAAGTCTTTTGTTTATGGCCTGCCTGTGTAGGGCAGAGGGTGTAGGTTTGCCTACCTTATGTGAGCCCCAGGGATTCTCCTAGCGCTGCAGGAGATGAGGCTGGCTTCCTTTCCCCCTTCAGTGCCCAGTGCGGGCCGGGACCGGGAGGACGAAACCCCCTTGGCTGGTCAGGGGAATCGGTGGACCGCCGTTCAGAGGGGTCTGTCCGGTTCTCAGGGCCTCGGGACGTGTTCCACGGCAGACCGGGTGGCCGCGTACGTCACTTCCGGCGCGGGTGACGTCATTTCCGGGCACCGGGCTTGTGCGTTCCTAGCCTAGTTTTCGGCGCAGGAGGAAGGGGAGGGCTCGGCTGGTGCTTAATACAGCGTGGATATCGTGATGTGTTTCTGTACTCTTCAGCCTAAAACTGAAAGCTAACAT